GCCTCTAGCCCCCAAAGGGGCTTTCAACTCCATTAGCCCTCAAAGGGGCTTTCACCTGATCTAGCCCAAAAAGGGCTTTCTCCCCTCTAGCCCTCAAGGGGCTTTCACCTCCTCTAGCCCTCAAAGGGGCTTTCAAGTCCTCTAGCCCTCAAAGGTGCTTTCGGTCCCATTCCCCTCTAGCCCTCAAAGGGGCTTTCACCTCCTCTAGCCCTCAACGGGGCTTTCACCTCTTCTAGCCCTCAACGGGTCTTTCTCCTCCTCTAGCCCTCAACGGGGCTTTCACCTCCTCTAGCCCTCCAAGGGGCTTTCACCTCCTCTAGCCCTCAAATGGGCTTTCGCCTAGTCTAGCTCTCCAAGGGGCTTTCGCCTCCTCTAGCCCACAAAGGGGTCTTTCGGTCCCATTCTCCTTTAGCCCTCCAAGGGGCTTTCACCTCCTCTAGCCCTCAAAGGGGCTTTCCCCTCCTCTAGCCCCCAAAGGGGCTTTCACCTCCTCTAACCCCCCCAAGGGGCTTTCACCTCCTCTAGCCCACAAAGGGGCTTTCGGTCCCATTCTCCTCTAGCCCTCAACGGGGCTTTCACCTCCTGTAGCCCTCAAAGGGGCTTTCCCCTCCTCTAGCCCTCAAAGGGGCTTTCCCCTCCTCTAGCCCCCGAAGGGGCTTTCACCTCCTCTAGCCCCCAAAGGGACTTTCACCTCCTTTAGCCCTCAAAAGGGCTTTCACCTCCTCTAGCCCACAAAGGAGTCTTTCGGTCCCATTCTCCTTTAGCCCTCCAAGGGGCTATAGCCCTCCAAGGGGCTTTCACCTCCTCTAGCCCTCAAATCGGTTTCCCCCTCCTCTAGCCCCCAAAGGGGCTTTCAACTCCTCTAGCCCCCAAAGGGGCTTTCGCCTCCTCTAGCCCCCCTAGGGGCTTTCACCTCCTCTAGCCCACAAAGGGGTTTCCGGTCCCATTCTCCTCTAGCCCTCAAGGGGGCTTTCACCTCCTCTAGCCCTCAAAGGGGCTTTCCCCTCCTCTAGCCCCCAAAGGGGCTTTCACCTCCTCTAGCCCTCAAAGGGGCTTTCACCTCCTCTAGCCCCCAAAGGGGCTTTCACCTCCTCTAGCCCTCAAAGGGGCTTTCACCTCCTCTAGCCCTCCAAGGGGCTTTCGCCTCCTCTAGCCCACAAAGGGGCTTTCGGTCCCATTCTCCTCTAGCCCTCAAAGGATTCTAGGTCTCCCCCTATTCACCAGTCTGCTTGCGTAGGTTAAATAAAACTTACCTTGGTGGCGGATCTCCAGTAGAAACCTCTAAGCTCGGTGGCGATCCTGGGACGTCGCCCTTGACGCTGATTTTCTTAACTTTATATCACAGCTTTGCGCGGACGTCGGGGAAATGAATGGCTTTGCGCGTAACTTTTTAAATTATGGTGAAAATTCAGCACGGTTGTGCACCATCCACCTCTGAATATCTAAAAGACACTTCCTTCATTAAAAAATCTTAGACAGTTGTTATTTACTTCATCCTTCCTCGTGTATAATATATGGAGGGAGCTGGTCGTCAAGTTATCCGTGTGCCCCGACAGTCAATGACCATGAGATAAGTTGGTAAATGTTAGGGTTAGAGTTTGGGTTAAGTTTGGGTCAAGGTTGTTGATTGTAATAGACAAGTAGACAGTCAAGTGGAACACCTAGTTCGGTGGTAAACCGTCAAGCAGAACAGAAATCTCGTGGTAAATCACCAAGTGGACAGGCGCGTCAATACGTTCTAAATCTCATTTTTAATTGTCTCAAAATATTCATCATATTTTAAAACTTACAATTCTTGTCACGTCTACGAGAAATTTCGAATGCCTTTGACTTTGAAAAACATCAATTAAATCCATTATTCCGCAAGTTCAAGAAAGAATCATTGGTTTCCTCCTAAGTTTTTGAAACAAAAAAAGGGTCCCTGGGGTGAGGGTGGGGTTGATGTATTTGTGAGTGAGGGAATGTGTGTGTTTGTTACGTATGTCGGCGAGAGAAAAAGGGAGGTTA